TTTAAAACAAATAAATATATTCACTAAGGATTGAGAAATTGTGATTTCTTTATCGTAATTTTACATATTTCGTTTTTGTTTTTGTTGTTTTCTTTTTTTTTTTTAGAAACACAGATATGTCTTTTAATCTAAAAAAAATCAACATTTTACACAAATGTTCATTCACACTGTTTCACTGTGTTCATATCAGCTGAACAACGTCCTTTATTACAGATATTTGCTGCTATTTTTAGTTATTTACAGTTTGCAAGTATTATTTATTGTCACCTTTGCTGCCTTTTTTTGTTTGTTATTTTTGTTTGTTTGTTTGTTTTTACAGTGTCCAGAAGCTTCTAAATACAAAACCAAATCAGATAAAAGTGTCGTTCAGTTTCTTTTGAAGCATCTTTGCCCCTCGAGACCAATAAAAAAAACGCTAATACAGCCATGAGCTTTTAAGAAAAGAACAAACTGCAGATTAAAGTCGCTGTAAGGAAACACCTGTAGACCTCTAAACCTCGGCGCTGCTCGCTTTACATCCAATCTACAGCCGCCAGGACAAAGCTGCTGCCCACAAAAGCTGAAACCGAATATTCCTGCGACCGGCGAGGGAACCAGGAGCAGCAGAGACGTGCTGCTGACGAGGAAACNAAAAAATTTAACTACTGTAAAAATTAAACTACCAAAATGTGATGGTCTTAAGAGGTTAAGTACAAATGGGGTAAGAGCTTTAAAACTTTAAATACATTTTTAAATAATGTTTAATCTCTTTTACACCAGTTACATATTTCAATGTAGATCTTGTAATGGAGGTTTTTGCTTTGGTTTGTTTTGGTGTTTTTATATTGCAGTATTGCTACTTCTGCTTAAAAGATATAAATTCATCCCCCACCACGGCAAAACTCCCATACGGATTGGCACACAAACACATGCTCTCCATGCAGTGTTATCATAGCACTTAAACATCAGATGAGTAGATTAGCGCTTTAATCTTACTCTGGATCTGAGGCATCTCTCTTCCCAGGCGTACCCACAGCCTGCTGTGAAATATTCCATCTACTCAACTGTAAATAAGTGCTAACAAGATTATCAGATTACCCTTCATCCAGGGCACCCTGCGACTGCTGGGCACAGTAACTGCAATGATGTAAAAAATCCCTGTTAGATAATTGTGTTAGGAGGCACCATTTTAATGCAAATTTTCCAAAGGCTCTCAAAGCTCAAGGGCAGCTTAAAACACTTTCCCCATTTGCAGTGTGAAATATATTTCGTCGGTTGCCACTAAAAAGCCACATTGAATATAAAGAGTACAGTTGGAATGGGTATATAGTTAAGAAAATTCTCCCAGTGTTATTCTCTGCCTCTTTAATAGCTTGTCTAGAAACTGGGCCAAGTGTAATTGAATTGACAGAGAGAGATTAATCTGAGAACTTTTTTATAATATTATTTAATATTCTCATGAATAAATACTCTACTTTATTGTACAAGTTGGATGAAAACGTACAATGCTATTAAATTGTACAGAATTACATTTGCAATGGTTTGCTGAAGTTGAGTAGATGATACAGTACACTATATTTTTATTAGACTCTCCTGTAATGTTGCCATCATTTATACTGTGGCAGTGCAATGGTGAATTTATTAAGCGAGTATATTCCAAAGTCATCCTGTCAACTTGCTTTTGTTTTATGATTTTGGTTTAAACTGGATTTAACGTCTTTGCCCAGGTACAGCGATTGGGCTGAGCTGAGCAAACAGAGAAAACAAAGGGGATGAGCTCTCCCTCTCGCTTTCCTCTGTCACTATAGAAAATATATTTATATGCAAATTAGCCTGTGAAATAACAGGATTCGAATAGTTTGATAGGAGAGTGTTGATTGCTGGAGATGAATAGGGATGCGCTTGGAAGTGTAATCTAAAAACTGTCTCATCCCTGTCTCAGTTACAGTAGATTGGTGAATTGCATGCAGCAGACTTTGCGGATTTATATGTGATACTGACTTTTTAGAAAATAAAGTATTGCGAAGACGCAGGAAAACCGCACTGAGATCTAAAGATTAGTCGAAGCTCGCTGGAGACTGCTGTACAAGTTGTGAGAGCAAGTATAGTAATAAAATAGATGGCCAACTGTTCTAGTGTCGGTTGCCTTTACAGTCTGCTACAACCATAATATATATATATATGACCAGGAAAATCCTAAAGTGTGTATTCGGAAGTGGAAAAAAAAACTCTTTGGTAAATAAAAGACTGTTCTCTCCAAAGCAAACACTGTGATTGGCATGTAGTTGGTTCTGTTTCTGCATCCAAATGCAGCGACAGCACCTGCCTGTTCCTTCTGTTTGTCTGCTAGTGTCTTGTCCGGTTTCCTCTCCTTCTGTTTCATCTGTATCTGTCTCTCTGTTTTCACGGTGTTTGTCGCTCTGCATCTTTGGCAGCGTGTTTGGCTTCCTACACAGCCTGTTCTCTCTCTGTCTGCTGTGTTTTTGTGTGTGTGCGTTTTTTTTTAACTCCCTCCAGCACTGCTTGTGAATCAGAAAATGTAGAAATTAAATGATAGTTAATCTACTACATCGAGTCTAATGAGAACAACGCTCATAACAGTAGAATAAATGTAAGTCCCTGATGTATAGATATAAAATATGATTTCTAATAAATTATTTAATTACATTTTACTTTACTGACCTTCCCTATTTAGCATTCATATATAAGATGTAAACATATGTTAAATGCTTTGCTACATATAATAATGTGGCTGTAAAAAGATTTAAATATATATGAATGTATATTTCCACATCTATAACTCCCAATTTACACCATATGTGGGGACTATTGTTTATTAACATATAATTTATTTCATTTTGGGAATGCAATTTTTCTTTCTTTTTTCTTCTTTTTTAGAAAGTGAATATTTATGAAGTGCAAAAACGAAAAGCTGAATCAAAAATTCAGTTCTGCTCTTCTGTATTTATGTAATTTACCAACACACACAAGTATACAAATAAATTAGATAAGACAAAACTGCATTAATCCTAAATAAAATTCATTTGCCAGATCTTGCTTAGAAAACAAAACTAATCTAAACAAAATCAAAAAAAATCTTCCATAACATGAGAAAATGCAGTACGTTAAACATCTGGATGGTTTAAATCCACCAAAAACTCTGTAGCAACACCTAATGTTTGCAGTTCATAAGCTAGAAACTCATTTTATGGCTTCCATGCATGTCAGCTGTGAAATGTGTTCAACCAAATGAACCTTGTTTTTTTGAGAAATTCCCACATGCTAACTACACTCCCAGAGAGATATAAACAATTTACAAGAACACATACCAGCAGCTGACGTGCAGCGGTGGAATTGACAGCTAGCAACCTACTTTAATGGCCTTCTTACGAGGCATCGCGTGATGTCAGTGGCAGATTGCAAATGTCAAAGATGGTTCATTTGATCCTTGTTGCTGGATGCCAAGCAGCACAGGAAGAAAATACATTAATAGCACAGATTTCCCGGTTTTGCCTCACTCTGTCTCTCCCTTCCTCTGCCGTATTTTCTCTCATTTCTCGTCTCGTTTTTTTTTTTCTCCTCCCTGACGCACAAGTGTACACACAGGTGGTCCAGCCATCGTATCCATAAAATCAAAGACAAACTGCAATGTTAAAAACAGGCTGAATAGAAGACTGAGGCTGGATGTAGTGTCTTAGCAAAGCCTCAGATGCTGCCATCGAGTGACTAAAGTGCACTAATGTCGCTTTCTTTCTTCAGTTCTTCTCCACTTTTTTCTTTCTTTTCGTCTTATATCAGTGCTGTATTTATATCTTTGTGCTTTGTGCTGTCTGTCTCTATAGGTTTCCTTTTTCTTTGCTCAGACAGTACCGATATTGACAAAAGTTTAAAACCAATATTAGTTATTAATTTTTAACCCTATTCAGGACTTTCATGTTGCCATACGTAGAAGGTCTTTCGGGGTCCATTGGAGCTCAAGAAAGAATATGTGCAAAATATTAGTTGGTATTCATTATAGAATTTTATACGATATAAATTTTCTGATAAGTTGACATTTTTTTGGTTCCAAATACATGAAATGTCCCTCTTTTTTATATTAAAAAAATAATAATCTTCAAAAAACAAAAAAACAATACCTGTCACCTAAACCAGATGGCCTGGGGTCCAAAAGACCCCAAAAGTCCCGAATAGGGTTAAACATCTTTAAAATGAATGTGGGAATCAAATTGTGACTACACTGATAAATCTACCTTGACTTGACTTGTTTTTTTTAATTATTTGCGCTGACATGATAATGGCATTACTTCATTATTTTTTTAACTGTCTTTTCATTTTTTTCTTTTTCTGTGATGGGTATATTAGTTCCTCTGCCACAGCTGCATCCTTCACTTTTAGATGGTAGTCTCCAGTTGCATGGGGCTTCTCTGACCCATCTGCAACCTTTTTTTTTTGCACACACAGACACCAACAGTCTCCAGAGTGTGTGCTGGACAAAATCTAAAGTCAAGCATGAATACAGAGGCTGACAGGCCAATTATCAGATGTACTCTTCGTTCTGCATCCCCACCTCTGAAGGGAAGCAGATGTGAGAATCCTGTCACTTTCGCTCAAGCCAGTACATTGACATGGCCCAACAACAAAAGGCACAGCCTTCACCAGGAATCAAGATGGACAGAGTTGTAAACCTTGTCTTGTCGTACAGTTTTATCTGGTGGGTTTTCACATTTCAAGCTTCAGAAGATATGATATAGTGCAGGAATGTTTGTCAAAAGTTGAAATGTGTCTGACTCCCCACCCTCCTGAAGTTTCAGTTGGGAATTGCATTCCTTCCCGTCAATGCTGTGGTTTCTGTGGAAACCTCAAAATGTTTTGTGAAAATATGAGAATGTCACTTGTGGTGTGCAACATTGTAACTTCTCTCTCCATTTCAGGAATCGTGCAGCATGAACTGAAGCAATTACTGAGGTTTAATGAGCTTGACAAGACTTGTAATAACTGAAGAGCATCTATTTGCTTCCTAGGTAAACATAGTTCCTGCATGTGTCAGAGCCTTGACCAAGATGCTGTACTGTCCATACTGCCGTGGTATGCCTGGGCTGAAACCCTGTCACAACTACTGTCACAACGTTATGAGGGGCTGTCTAGCAAACCAGGCAGACCTAGATGCTGAGTGGAACCTCTTCATTGGTAAGATTCAACTCGAGTGTCCTTGCACCTGTTTCTCATTTTGTCTTCTCAGATTTGTCTGTCTGTGTGCAAACTTGAGCTTGTACTTCTAAGTCTGCATGTTTCTCTTCCAAGGCCGTATTTTTGAATAGTGTCGGAGGGAATTCAGTAGGATGTGCTGTGTTAGATTCAGCTTTAAAGGATTTACAGAGACAAAACTGAAATCTTATTTGTGCTGCAACCATTTCTTCTTCTTTTTTTTCTGTCTGAAATGTTGTTTGCTATTGCTAGAACCCTGGCATAGTGCTTAAAGCTCTGGTCCCTGCTGTTTGGGATTGATAAAGGAGAGCAGATCCTAGGCAAACACATTTTCTATAGTGTTTCCAGCTGAGCTTGGTGAGTAATATAGCACTTCAGTTCAGCTGTAAGTAGCTGGCTGCTGTAAGCCCTCCTCTTAAATGGATACCAAGGAGGCACATAGATTCTTCCCTCTGGATCTTTTGTAGGCCAATGCTTTATTTGTTATGTACCCCAATCCCATCCTCCCACCCACACTAACAGATTTTTTTTTTTTTTAAATGGGGCAACATTTTTTTTTTGAAGAGACATCCCTGAAGACTGTGTGTCAAGTGAACTGCACTTCTAAGCTTTTGGCTGTTTTGTGACAGGCCTGTCATTCGAGAAACCATCAGATGACGTACTGTTTGTTCTCTCCAATGGCACGTCTGAAGTCTCAGATCAACATGGGCCCCTGTGCACTGAATGAGATGTCTCACAGCTTTATGACATGTGTTAAAAAGTTAGTGTCTTGTTCGGTTGTGAAGAGGCAAATCTATTGCCGCAAAGGGACGATGTGCTTGACAGTAATGGGAAAAGCTGTTGTTGCAACAGAATGATGAATCTGGTTAGACCAAAACACCCTTGAGGTGCAGAAAAAGTGGATTTTTAATTTTGAATCTCCTCTTTTTTTTGCGATGGACATGTTTTTTTGTTTTTTTTTTTGTAGTTTTTTTTTTTTTTTGCTTTGGAAAGACATTGTTGTTGAAAAGTATTATAATTAGAAATGTAGAACCCAAGGGATGTTTATTTTCACCATGAAAGACTCGTTTTTGATGTCTGCTGACATTTTGTATTCATTATCTGTTGCTAAAGAACTTCGATTTGCTTACTATGCAGCTCGCAAGAAATATTGATTTGCCTTTCAGAGACAACTTCTAAATGTATCACAGGTCAGTTCTCACCACTGAAGCACATCTTTGCATTATAGAAATTTATGGATGGAGCTCATATGCACTCTGTCACTGTCATCCCCCTCAAATCATCACTCATTAAAGAAGGTTAGATTACCAGCATAGCCTTCAATTTTTTAGGAGCCCTCGATGACATTTACCTGTGGACTTTGCTTATGCTTAAATGTCACTATTGATGCTATTGATTTGTGAGACCACAGGAGAAAGGAGACTCCAGGTTTTTATGTAGAATCGAAATTCCACAGCAAGAGAGAACAGAGAGAGAACGGGCTTTCTGAAACCATGCATCAGTGATATGTATGTAGTGAATGAAAGTTTTTTTGTTTTTTTTTTCTTTTTGATTTTACTAAAAATCAAACGAAAAAGGAAGAATGCCTAAATGTAATGTGAGGTATAAATCAATTTTTTTTAAAAATTTAGTCCATTAATTGCAAAATGTTGGATCTGATACTCAAAACATTTTTTGGTTATCATTATCCCCACCCCCACCCCCATTTCTGAAAACATAAATTAATTTAAATTTGTTTTACTGTGGCTCTGAGATAGCTGCCTCTCTTTACCTCTAGTTACCACTGTGTCCCATCTGATCAGTTAAACATTAAACATTACAACTTTAACGCTAAAAGAGAAATGTTAAAAGGTTCTTTTTTAATTAAGCATATGTAAAACACAAACAAACAAAGGCATTTCAAGTAACTACTGTGTTAGTTTGTATTGTCCTAATTTTGACATTTTACGATTTTCACTTTTACCATAATTTAAGTTTCAAACATCACTTGTTGGTGTACTTGACTACTAAATATTGGTATCAGTGTAGAAAGAACTGGTCAACCCCTAACGATTGATAGTAATTAGATCAAAGTGAATTTTTAAACATTTCTAATAATAACTGCATTTCTTACTTCTGGTTTATCAGTCACATACTTATGCATTCTTCTTTCAAACCTGTTGAAGCAGTTGTATTAGTTCCACCGTCTTCTACGATACTAATCTGATGTTGTATCTCTTTGCTTCTGGATAAATTATTCTGTGACCCATTTCTGCAAATCAGGAATTGCTTTTTCGATGTTTTTATAAATGTAAAATGCCTCTATAATACAACACATTACTTTAGCAAGCCAGAAACTCCTTCCAGGTTAAACTTGACTAATTCTGTTCTTGCAACACTGCTACTAACAACTTATATTACACTTCCTATTTAAAAAAGAAAAAAGAAAAAAAACTACACACACAGTACATACTTACCTTCCAACATGCTTGCAACATTCATTTTTTTAGTGGATATTTTAAAAAGTCATTGCAAAAAAATTCACAGGTACAGTTGAAATCAGCAATTTCCCTGAGGTTTCCACCAAAGGGATCAATAAAGTTCTATTCTATTCTATTACTTTACTGGCATGACTTAAGAAGAAATAATTAATACGAGTACACAAGATAAAAAGAGCTATATAAGATAAAACACAAACACGTGCACCGATCAGGAATTGAACTCAGGTTGCAAAATGTAATCTCACACAAGCCAGCAGCACCATCGTATACAATGTATGCTTGCTGTTAACTGTATGGAAATGTGAGCTGTAATTACAGTGAGTTAAGACAGAAAATAGGAAAGCAGTTGTCTTAAAGTCAAGTAAGTGTAACAGGCTGGCTCAGTGACATTTTCTGCACTTTGATTTTAGTTGCTAGTTAATGATTGGCAGTGGCACAATGCGTCAGATGAGGTAAGCCTTTCTAGTGGAGCAAGCATGATGCTCATCCAGGCTGTGAACATTAAGTCCTTGACTCATTTTTTAGCTTGATTCAGTTAATCTGTAGACTGGAGAAACATGGTTGCAAATTATATCATTTAAAAAATAATATCATTGAAAATTTCTTAGATTAACTATTAAGCTTATAGTCTGTTATATTTGTCAGTCTAATGCCATGAACATTAATAAACATACTCAATATGTGATTTAGACAAAAGGTAAATATACTATATAAATGTAAAGTCTAAAAAAAGTTCTGGCTAAATCCTTTACAGTACTATAATATAATTAAACCTTTGAAGCCCTTTTTTAATAAATATGAAGCACAACAACAGAACTGTATGAACTTGTGTTATCTTCCTGCTTCCACTTAAACATTTATAAAAATGTTGTTTGCATGTCGCCTTATTCCCCAAACACAAAACGCATGGTGAGTCCATCTATCACAACACATAAAAGTGACATCACATGGCTCATTTTCTATTTTGTTGGTTTTCATCAGTAGCAAGCAATAATAATAATAATGATAATAAATAATAATGATGACTGCTGTAGCACTTTAAAACCAAGGAGGCCAAAAAAGCTACAGTGACAGATCTTACCAGATCATCTGTGCGTAAAAGTAAACACATGACGGATTGAACGTGCAGTATGTGATAAAGCACTGCAGCCACTGGGATATTAAATAATGACACATGCCTGCTTTCCCATTCCGAACTAAATATATGAGTGTGACTGTGAATGTTTCTTCTGTAAAATACACCACAATCATGCTAACGTATTGTGCACATTCACAAATATGTGTGTAATAATGTTTAAACTTTTTAAAATGCATTTTCTCAATATGAGATAAGAAAAGATGATAAAATGTTACTTTTTAAAATCCACTATCAATATCACATACTGTTTTGTTTTGGGGTTTTTTTTGCATAATAACAGAGTGAAAATGAATAAAAACACAACAGAGTCTAATTGTAGTTGTAAGCATGTCAAGCCAGTGGAGCCAACTTGTTTCACTGTTAAATAAATGGGATTACTCCAAATGCTTTACAAAGCCATTAAAACATCACTTAACATTAACAACAGGAGCCATAAGAATTTATGAGACACACTGTGACACCAAACAAATCAAGGAGGCTTAAGAGCTTGGGATTTAAAGAAAATTCTTGGCAATTCAACAAATTAAGAGGCACTGGTTATTTTTAATATATACATATAAACACAAGCAGTTTGAATATTGAGATGTCAGTGTCACACTGTGACCATTCCAAGCGTCGCTGGGAAGGAAAGAACAAACGCACCGCTATGGTGCTTATTCTTGAAGTCTGTGTAACATTGAAACAATAATGACCTTGGTGAATACTTTGATGTAGCCTACATACAGTAAGGCTATGCAGAAAAAGAAGAAGAGTGATTACAGCATCCATGCCATACATTTAAAGTTACAGTCACAGTACAGTAGCTTACACTTTGTAAAGGTTACTATAATGACTTCATGCCTTTCAGGCTGCAAAAAAAAAACGGACTGGCATTGAACAATGAGCATAAACCTGAGGAAGGATGTGATTTACCTGCCCGTTTCTGTGCTGAGTGATTTTTAGACACCCTGACTTTTAGTGTGTGTGTGTGTGTGTGTGTGTGTGTGTGTTCAAATGTTCAGAGAAAGAATTCATAGTGTGGCCACTGGATGATACCAGACCATCAGTCACCTGCCATCATGACAAATTTGCCCAGCTCTGCATCATGACAGACACATCATTATCATTTTTCTTGTCAGCACCTTGTTAAAATACCCTCAGAGAGAGAGAGATGAGGGGGACGCGTGCTGGTATTCAAACACTATTGTAGTTTTTCACACTTACGCCATGATCAACGCCGTTTCCGACAGGCCAGTCACATCAGTGTAATGCGATTAGCTTCATGTGGCCAAAACAAAAGGCTCGTATCATGCAGGGTTTCTCCACATCCTAAACCTCTGAATCCTAGAACTCACCCGCCATTCTGAAAGGCGTGTTAGCTTTTA